CACATGAAAATCTAAAATTAGTTAGTAGATAGAGAGAGAAAGATTCATTGTTCAAAGATCATCAAAAATCTTTGAAGAAACACATATAAGCATTAAAACTCTATTTGTTATTTTTGTATCTTAGCCTAAAACAAAACTGTGACTTTGATTGTCTTATCATACAAAGGGATTTCTTGTAACCCAAAGGCTTGGAATAGGGTCGAAATATTCTTTAAGGAAAGCATGGCGACTCAATCATTATCCAAGTATATAGTTCACACCCATTCGGGTTACAAAACCCAAATTAACCAACAATCTTAAAGATTATTATCTTGTTAACTATGACTAGTATACTTGTGCGAGAGATAAATCAAAGTCTGAAAAGTTGTAAATGTTTGAGTGAGTAAACTTTTGAAGATGGAGAAAGAAGATGAAACAATGGAGAATAATACATCATTGCTATATTCTCAAAAGTATATTTATTTCATTTTAAATAATATTGCTAATGATGATTGAACAATGTACCACCAAAAGGTGCCATCAAGGGATGCCATCAAGAGATACCACCAAAGGGTGCCATCAAGGGATGCCACCAAGGGACGCCATCAAGGGATGTCATCAAAGGGTGTTATCCAAAGGGTGTGATCCCATCGTGAACTAAGGGATCCGAGTGCTTCGTGATCCAAGAGATGCGAGTGCATCGTGATCCAAGAGGTACGGACGTGTTGTGACCCAAGAGGTACGAATGTGTCGTGATCCAAGAGGTACGAATGTGTCGTGACTCAAGAGGTGTGAACTGAAAGGGTATGAACGTGTCGGGACCAAAAGGGTGCGAACATGTCGGGACGGAAAGAGTGGGAACGGTTTGGGACCGAAAGGGTGCGAACGGTTTGGGATCGAAAGGGTGCGAACGGTTTGGGACCGAAAGGGTGCAAACGGTTCAGCACCAAAATGGTGCAAACGTTTTGGCACCGAAAATATGGTTCGAGATCGAAATGGTGCAAATGGTTCGGGACCGAAAATGTTCGAATGGTTCGGGATCAAAAAGGTTTGAATGTACCATCACCCAAAAGGTGTGAATTTAACGTCACTGAAAGGGTGCAAATTTAACGTCACCGAAAGGGTGCGAATGTAACTAAAAGGGTGTGAATATAACGTCACCAAAATGGTGCAAATGAAACGTCACCCAAAGGGTGTGAATGTAATATCATCGAAAGGGTGCAAACATAATGTTACCAAAAGGGTGCAAACATAATATCATTGATACTTATGGATGCAAGTCATTAAGGTTAAGGTCGAGCCATCATGAGTGGTTAACATATTGTTCATGGTCGGGTGCTATGGACTATGATTCATGATATGGATCTATGGCTCAAAAAGGAGTGTATATATATGAAGCAGTCTTAGTTTTATTGTACCTTGTAATAAGTATAGAATGTATACATTTATTTGTATGGTAAAGAAACCACCTAGGCACTAACATTAAATGTTTAATGAGATTGTCTTATCAAGTGGTTTAAGTTAAACTATTGGGATAAGTGTTTATAGAAAAAATGATGAATCTAGTAATGGAATAATCATTTGCTTATATGTTGATGACATATTGATCTTTGGCACTAGCCATAGCTAAGTAGAGCTTACAAAAGCATTATTGTCATCAAGTTTTACAATGAAATACATGGGGAGGTGGATGTGATTCTTGAAATTTGAATCACACATACAAATAAAAAAACTATCTTTAACAAAATTTCATTATGTTGAAAAGTTGTTAAGAAGTCTGATTGTGAGATTGTTCTCCAATGAGAACTCCCATGGACGCGAGTGTGAAGTTTGGGCCTTATAGAGGAAAATAAATATCACAACTCGAGTGTTAAATGTAACCATAAATTATGGGTTGTTATATGTCAGATTTCCTTAGATAGTAGAAGGGTATTTAAATGCAAGTTTGAATATCAATATAGAAGATCATTCTTTTATAAGTGGTTGATTGTATTTGTTTGGGGAGGTGCCATTTCATGGGTTTCCAAGGAGCAAAGTTGCATGAAAAAAAAAATTTGACTATAAAATAGAACTTTGTAGCATTAGCATATGCTGATAAATAGACATATTGGCTAAAGAATTTAATTTACGAGATTTTGCCGTGGCCGAAATAGTATCACCAATTTCTATATTTTATAGTTAAGAAGTCTTGGTTAAGGTTTATCACTAAGTGTATAATGGTAAGTCGCGACACATGGCGTTAGATTTAGCGCAATATGTGAGCTGATCACTCAAGGGATGATTACCAAAGAGGTTGTTCGGTCTGAAAGAAAGTTAGCATATCAGTTGACGAAATGATTAGCTAGAGACTTGGTAGTTGAGTCTGTTTAAGGGATGAGTCTAAATTCCATTTGAAATCTTTAATGGTGAGATATCCAGTTCTCCTCTAATACGATGTTAGAGGCTGAATTCAATGTGGAAAACCTATACTTAAAAATTGAAGCACATTTTTAATGTCATCCCAAGATATGTGCTTGGGCCTGAAAAAAAAAGAGATAGGTTGAAATATTATTCTTAATAAATACTTTGAAAAAGTGCATTTGCAGGTGCATGAGTAAAAGTATTTACCTATATAAATGTGAAGTGATGTCGCTTCAATAAGTTGGGACTTGGGTTTGTATACATTCATGAATGGATTGGGACACATGGCTTATAATAGTGTCGAGTAAACACTTAGAGTAGTGTGGAAACACATGTGTGTATTATCTTCATGTGCTCAAAATAGGTAGAGGACTCAATCCGTAGGACATCCTGATTCTTGGGCATTTGGAATGTGTATTACACTTAGAAGAAAATTCAATTCTTCGAACAATTTCATTTATGCATGAGTTTAATATATGTATTATTGATTTGATGAATCTATAAGTACACTTAAATGGAGGAGGATTGTTGGATATTTAAGTGACTACATGCAATATATCATTATATATTTATGTAACTAGATGCAGTACTGTATCATTATATATTGACTAGATACAATGTATCATTGGATATTGAAATGACTAGATGCAATGTATCATGTGAATCATTGCAATTATTTGTATGAACAATTGCAACTATTTAAGTGAATCCTTGTAACCACTAGATGCATAGTCCCCGCGCAAGCGAGGGGTTAGATACGTTGTTGATGTGTTGTGTAGTTTTGAGTATGAGACTTTGCTGTTTTTTTTAAACATTTGTTTATCTGGCTTATCTATAATGGTGATGAATGAAACATTAGAAGTCACACAACTTGATTAGTCTGATAAAAGAATAAACATCAAATTCATATAAGTTGATATTTTCATATTTTATCTTCGTAGTGATTTTATCGAGCATTACTGTTATTAGTGTTTTCATGTAAAAAAATAGTTTAATGGAGAAAGGACAAAAAAGGACATGTGTTTATTAGTGTAATTTTCTTTCTGAAATTATGTTGTATATATATATATATATATTTTTTTAATTGTGATGTATATGAGATTTATGGCCGATCTGAATGGTTCGGGGTAAATATTTATTATTGAAAATATGTTTTTATTTTATTTGATGATTATAACTGAATTGAAATGATATTGGAGGTTAGAACATAATAACCTTTCTCATAAAAGTATCTAAGATAGTCTCATAAAGTTTCAAATCTTTAAGCCATTTTGTATCCCAACAACCAGCATAAAAAATCATTCTGAATCTCCCTAATCTTTTAAGTATCCCGAAAATCCCAAATTAAAAAAAAAATTACATGCAAGCACTGCGTTTCGAATCCGCACACTCACGGTACCAACTTCTTGTCACCAACTTACACCACTGGGCCATTTCATCACTCATTGATAACATTCAATCTTACAAAATGTTATACGTTTTTGTTTTCCCTAATAACACGCGCGGGGCCCGCGAACTTGCTGACATGGACACGCTGAAGAACTTCAAAATGTATATGAGATTTATGGCCGATCTGAATGGTTCGGGGTAAATATTTATTATTGAAAAATATGTTTTTATTTTATTTGATGATTATAACTGAATTGAAATGATATTGGAGGTTAGAACATGATAACTTTTCTTATAAAAGTATCTAAGATGGTCTCATAATGTTTCAAATCCTTAAGCCATTTTGTATCCCAACAACCATCATAAAAAATAATTCTGAATCTCCATAAGCTTTTAGGTATCCCGAAAAGCCCAAATTAAAAAAAAAAAATTACATGCAAACATTGCGTTTCGAACCCGCACACTCGCGGTACCAACTTCTCGTCACCAACTTACACCATTGGGCCATTTCATCACTCATTGATAACATTCAATCTTACAAAATGTTATACGTTTTTGTTTTCCCTAATAACACGCGCGGGCCCGCAAACTTGCTGACGTGGACACACTGAGGAGCTTCAAAATGTATGTTAAATTTATGGTCGATCGGAATGGTTCGGGGTAAATTTTTATTATTAAAAAAATATATTTTATTTTATTTGATGATTATAACTAAATTGAAATGATATTGGAGGTTAGAACATGATAACCTTTCTTATAAAAGTATCTAAGATGGTCTCATAAAGTTTCAAATCCTTAAGCCATTTTGTATCCCAACAACCAGCATAAAAAATCATTTTGAATCTCCATAAGCTTTTAGATATCCCGAAAAGCCCAAATTAAAAAAAAAAATTACATGCAAGCACTGCGTTTCGAACCCACATACTCGCAGTACCAACTTCTCGTCACCAACTTACACCACTGGACCATTTCATCACTCACTGATAACATTCAATCTTACAAAATGTTATATGTTTTTGTTTTCCCTAATAACACGCGCGGGGGCGCAAACTTGCTGACGTGGACACGCTGAGGAGCTTCAAAAGTGTACTATTATTATATAGATTAAAGCGAAACATTGCCATGTTTAAATGAACAAATGCAACTGTTTGTGACAGTAGTTATTAGTGATGAATTGTTGCAACCTTTGGTGATAAACCATTGCAACTATTGATGATTAAAACCTTTGGTGAAGAATAATTGTGACTTTTGGCCAACCATTGCAATTGTTGGTGCTAATAGTTGTAAATATTGTGTTAGCCATTGCAACCTTTCATATTCTATATAAGAAGTTGTTGGCATTGACAAATCACAACTCGAGAACTTGAATCACAGCAAGCTTGAAAACATATACTCTGTGATGAAACCAACAAAAGTATACAAATGGGCTCATTATTTTCATGTTTGTATTGTGCGTTTATAGAGGTTGCTTTGTCGGTGATCAAGACAGCACAGATTGATCACCCTTGTGGAACTTATCCATGGCCTCTTTGAACTCAGGCATTGCAGACTCACGCAGGTTCACCAGAACCTTAAACCCACTATCCTTACTTCCAGCTGCAGCATCACCAGAATATGGCAAGAAAAAACATGGTTCCATGCTTCCAAGCAACTTGTACGATAAAGGCAAAACCGTCACAGGTCCTCCCCATCCAAAATCAACCGTTGAATGTCCCAAGTATCTCCAGTCCGTGAATCCAGTCACTCCTGTTTCACGTAATCCCAAAAGACATGAAACTTTTTTTTTTCCTCAGTTTACTAAAACAGATTATGATGTTTTTATCTACCTGAACCGGCATTGATTCCATCTTTGTAGTGCAATTCTTGAAAGTCAATAAAGGAGCGAACGTATTCATCACTAGCATTGGACTTGCTCTGTTTAATAAGCTCAGCGGTTTTCCAAATGGGTTGCTCCATGAGCTCTCCAGCTTTCATCTGAGCATACATTGGCACACATCCGTTTCCCCAGTAGCCTTTAGGCAATGGTGGATTCATCAGTCTCCTTATATTTATCGAATACACATACTTCACATTCTCCTCTTCACCAATCTTCGCAGCTCTTACTCTGGATTTCAAAAACTCTCTTGCTTCAGACAAAAACATTTCAAGAAACTTTGATCAAAATAAATGTAGTAACTTACTTCGCACGCCAAATGTAAGCACCTAGGGCTTCGAACGTGGTGAAATTCAAACCAGATTTCTCGACTAACAAAGCCTTGAAACGATCCAAAGACTCGTCGGTGACGAGGAAACACTCTCTTTTGACGGTTCTAATGTCTTGTCCATAAGGATCAAAGTCCTTGTTCAAAGACAAAAAGTCACGAACCGGAGCTCCAACCCAAGGCTTGTCTCTCGGACCAAGAAGACGTGCTCTGTCCCAAACCGGTTGGATAGAAATCTGAGTAGCCCCACGAGCTAACTCCGCCATGGCGTTGAAGAACAGACTCGAACCTAAACCATCGCAGATCGCGTGGTGAAGCGACGCTCCTAGGACCCAACCACCGCACTGAAACGTCGTGACTTGGAGGATACATGGGTTGAGCATTCCTTCCTCCCGGGTCGGATCCGGTACCAAACTCTCCACGAAGCCTGGATCGGGTCCATTTAAATACCCAACGGACTCGAGCGTGCAGTTTACGGAAGCGTTGACTAGAGGGACGCTTTGACCGGAGGTGCAGTATAGTTCGAAACGGTTATCTGACTCGGAGCGGTGGAGAAAACCGGCTAGTGGGTAGTAGTGAACTAAAGTGGCAGCAAGTGAGGCAGAGACGACGGAGGAGGGGGATTTCCCGGTGACGGAGGAAGAGGAGGAGTAGACACGGAGGTAACGGAAGCTAACGTTGAGGTTGTTATCGTTGTCAAGATGAGAGAGGGGTAGTGTTTGGTCGTTGAAGGAAGGTTGGTGAGAAGGTTGAACCAGGGCTATTTCTGTAATTGCAAGTGTCGCCATGTGGGCAGCGTTTGGCCTTTGGTTTGGTGTTGTAGTTGTGTTTGGCTTTTGTAGCTTTACAAAATAAACTTTTTGGGGAAGTTTATAAATCAATAGAAAAGGCAAGATCAATGCCTTGTGGACACCTCATGAATCCATTCAACTACCAAACAGTCAAGTTCCATGACGATATTCTCAACTATAACGTTTTCAAACAATAAATAATAGAGATGTGTAAGTTTCTCACTCATACCATCATAACATCATTCATTTTATGGTCGAGTTTTGTACGCATCTCTTAAAAATTAATTCAAAATGTTGTTGGGCTCTATTCAATCATATGCTCGTCTTCATTGTTTTTCTCTTCCACTAGTTAGTTTGACAAAAAAAAGTTAGTTTCACAAAAAAATGTTTTGTTTTCTTGCTTTCGCAACAATTGAGATAAATGTATGGAGTAGGTATGGATGTTTATGCGAGAAAAAGGGTATAACTTAGAGTCATAACTAAAGTTTTTGACCAAAAAAAAAAAAAAAAGAGTCATAACTAAAGTTCTTTATTTTTTGACAAAAAAAAAACTAAAGTTCTTTATTCAGAAAATCACTAATAGAATAATTTGTTAACCCCTAGTTTTCTAGTTACTTGACTAATGTTGATGTGAAAATCATTATGACTGAGATTTTTTTTTTCTATTTAAGGGTTCTCACTTGATTTTATATAAAAATTATACACTATGTCAACAGTATTTATATATATTTTTACAACTTGGGATTTAATAGTCGTCTTGTTGCCGGAAGCATTTTTGTGCTTATACCATACCAAAAGAATTTCGTTTTTTTCTATATTTATCGACGGTATACAATATAATTAGTCATAAGAATTAGAGATGGGGTGACTTATACAATATGTCGACAGTATTTTATAGGGGCATATGTAGGTGTTATCGGTTAAATTAAAAAATATTAACAATATTTTTTTCTCTCTCAATGAAACAATATTTATGGAAAATATCAATGTAGTTACATATTAGCAACTTGGTTTATATCATCGCATAATAAGATTTAGTATGTTATCTATGTGAATTTATGGTCGAGATATAAACTTGGTGACAAAAAATCTTATTTTCTTACACTATGCGACAGAGAGTCGATTGGTAATAGCTGTAGCTTTAAAAATTTTGCTATATATAGAAAAAAATTGTCTTTTTTACTGTAATTCTAGAAAGCACGTGTTATTTCAAAAATTGTAATTTAAAAACAATCATTAAAGCTTAATTGTTATTAATTTCTGTGAATTTGGTACTTTAGAAATATGGTGCTTTGGAGAATACATACAGTCATTACTAATTATACTAATTACACTCAGAAACACAAAATTTAATTTTACCAAAATACAATAGACTTGGTGACAAAGTTTCACGTACAGTATACTAAGTTTTAATAAATTGTGTATCTAGATTGTTATAAGAGAAAACTACTAGAATATCATAGAAAAGTTATTATATGATAAGAATAAAATACATCTTTTAAAAATTATTAGGATGTTTGTAAATTCATAATAAATTACAATAAACATTCTTAGTTATCTTTTTTAAATTAGCTTATTTATGATAAAAATGATTAAAGTTATTAACAAATTCACATCATCAACAACTATAATCTATGTCACTAATAACAATCTATGTCATCAAAAATTGTGATTAAAAGAGTGGGAAGGCAATGAAACGACATTTAACTTAATATTTTCTTCGCCATTAAACCCATCGTGGTTAACATCGGAAATCTTCTCTAAAATCGTCTTCTCTGAGATTGTTTTCTCCAAAATCGTCTTCTACGTAATCGTTTGTAATCATTATCTCCAAAAATTTCATCTCCACAATCGTCTTCTTCATCAGTATGTTTCAACGCTTTACTTTGATTTTTTTCAAGTTTGTTGTTGAATTATGAGTTACTTCATGATTGAGTTATGATATATTTGATGGCAGTTATAGTGTATTTAATGGCTGAGTTATTATATATTTGATGGCTGGGTTATGCTTTATTTGATGGCTGAGTTATAATATATTTGATGGCGGAGTTATGAGTGATTTAATGGCTAAGTTATGACTTATTGTTATGGGTGCGTGTGAGGAAAATGTTATGAAGGAGGATGTAGAAGAACTATTTTCTTAGTGGTTGGGTGAAGCAGATGATCCACAATTTGTTAAGTTGATATAAACATACATGCAGGTACCCACATTTCACAAAACACCCAATCTAGAAAAACGTAACTATAAACAGTTTGCGTTCTGAGGAGAAAAGATAAATATATTCTAAAAAAACATCCAAGTTGACAATTGTGGGGTGTATTCATTAAAGTTTGTCGAATGTATGTGGACAATGCTTACTTTCTTAGAAAAAAAAATTCTCAGTGGTGGATTATGATGAAAATTGGTTATTTGATGAAGGGCCACATGACAATAAGAAGAGAGGATTCATGTATGTCTCTCACTCTATTTCAATTTTTGTATTGTTTGTGATTTGATATCCAGATTTGGATAATCCAAAAACATTTTCTCACATCTGAGTGACATAGAAGCTTGAACGAGAAGAGAATGGAGGAGACGGAGAGGAGTGACGGATTCAACAGAGATGACGCATAAGAGTTCAATGAAGTTTGGAGACATAGAGGAGTTATAACCGAAGTGGTGCAGTAAACCTGTATTTTGTGTTTTCTTTCGAAGAAACATAACTCAATCTTGTATTTTGTGTTTAACTGATGATATGTTTACACAACTTAACCGTGTTGTTTATATATCTAAGTCGTGTCATTTATATAATTCAGCCACATCTCAATCATAATAAGATATTTTTATGTAACTCAGCTATGTCGTTTAGATAACTCAGCCGTGTTGTTTATGTAACACATTCATACCTCAAACATACCATAAAATCAAAAAATGACATTGAAATACTTTATAAAGTTATATTGAAGCTTCTTTTATAAATATCAATTAAATAAATCAACTAAATGTATATATTTTTCTTGAATTTTCAAGTTGAGATTCTAACTTGATTTTGAGATATATGTTATCTTATAATTACTTACTTACAAGACTCCAATTTTAATATTTTCTTAAATCTAAACAACAAACCCTAAACTATAGAACTAAAAAAGTATAAATTTTATCTTTTGAACCTTAAATCTTGTTTTATTATTATTTAAATTTTAAGGTTTAGGTCTAGTTTTAGAAAATTTATAAAATTTATCTTTTGAACATTAAATATAATTCTTTATTACTATTTAAAGTTTAAGGTTTGGTTCAAGTTTATAGTTTAGAGTTAAACTCAAATTTTAATCTTTTTTAAAAAATTAATCTCAAATCCTTAATTCTAATTTAAATCATGATTTAAACCCATAACTACAGTCTTTAAATTTAAGTAATTTCTAAAACAATTAAACATAACTATAATTACAATTTATATTGTTTTTTCATAACCATTGGTTTAATTTAATGTAAGGATCCAAAGTTATCTTTTTGTATATCCTCAACCTTCTTTTTCATTAGTTAATCTTTTTTAAAAAAGATTACAATTTGTGGCCATTGATTAAATAAAATATAAAAGCTAAAAATCATTCTCTAATTTTTACAGTTGATGGGACTAAACCTCTTTCTTTTTCTGCAAGACGAGATGAATCTGTTGAGAGAGGGAGCAGCATGATGTCAGATAACCATATATGACACTGGAGGAGAGGAATCTTCTTCTCTAACCGACTACCATCGAAGACGACGACTATAGTAGATCTGTCATATATTTTAGATTTTTTAGATCTATGTTGTTTATGCGACTGATATGTCTCTTAATTCATAATTTATAGACTCGTCTTTTTATTTTTATCTTTCAGTTTATAATTTCAATTTAAGTTTGGATGATGAATCTTGAGCTTGTTAGAAGCTTTTTTAGCTGACTTAGCTATAAAACGCCGTATTGTAACCATAACTCAACCTTTGTTTATAACAAAGGCGTATTGTAACCATAACTAAGCCATAACATATGCATAACACAGCTATAATTTGATTATAACTCAGTCATAACAAATGGATAACTCAACCGTAAAGTATGCATAACTCAACCGTAACGTATCTGAATGGTATAAGTCAGTCCGTAAAATTCCTATAAGTCAGCCGTTAAGTGTAATTTGTTTCGCAACATTTTGTACTTTGGGCAGGAACAAAATCATTCTTTCAACCCATGACACAATATTAAAACTTTAATCTTTTTAAAAATTTGAACCTCAAACCCTAAATTATAGAAATATAAAGTTATAAGAAAAATTTATCTTTTGAAAATTAAATCTAATATTTTTAGTTTTTTAAATTTTAAGGTTTAGGTTTAGAGTTTATAGTTTAGAGTTAAACTCAACCGTAACTTATGCATAACTCAGCCGTAACGTTTCTGAATGGTATAAGTCAGCCGCAACGTTTCTATAAGTCAGCCGTCAAGTGTAACTTGTTTCGCGAGGTTTCGTATTTTGGGGGGAACAAAATCATTCATTTAACTCTGAACACTTACAACTTTAATATTTTGTTAATTTTGATCGCCAAACCTCAAACTAAATAACTATAAAGTTATAAAAATTATAAAGTTTATCTTTTGAACGTTAAATCTAACATTTTTATTATTTAAAGTTTAAGGTTTAAGTTTACAGTTTAGGTTTATAGTTTAGAGTTAAACTCTGTTGTAACGTATGCATAACACAGCCGTAACATACGCATAACTCAGCCATAACATATGAGTTGGCGACTCACTGTATGAACAAAATTTGTCATATTCAGATGACGCACCATATGAGTAGTTAAACATACAAAATTGGCTTTCAAATTCATTATCTTCTTCATCTTCTCTCAATTTCTTACTTTTTTGTTCAACTCTCTCATACTTTATAATTTACGGGACTTAATTAGCTTCTTCATCTCTCTCTTTGACTCTTTCTTCTTCTGCAAGACAATGAATCCAATGAGAGGGAGCAGCAGATGTCGGACCATCATATATAACACTGGAGGAGAGGAAACTTTTTCTCTAACCGACC